CGCAAAAAGAATGATAAGCTCGTTCATCCATGCGAAACATAGCCTCGACACCGTCCCGCCCCAGAGCATTATATGCATAGGGATGCGAGGTCTACATGGTCTAACGAGTACGGCTAGCATTTATGATGAGCACACCCGCCCCTCACGCTACCGGCGCAGGCGCCTCCTCCCTATCCAACACCGAAGCGTAAGTGGCCTCCTTCGCCGAGTCTACCAACGCCGCCACCGAGCTTTCCGGGGTCGTCTGCAAAACTCCATGCCCGAGATTGAGAATGTGGCCGCTAGACCCGGCATCCCTCACGCAAGACCTCACGGCCTCCTTGATGCCGCTCGTTGGGCCCAGGAGGACGAGGGGATCGACGTTGCCGGACACCGGGACGCTGGCGCCAAGGCGCTCCCGGGCGGACCGCATGTTGACGAACTGGTCAAGGCTGATCATATCCGCCTGTTGTTGGGGGGTGGGGGGGGGGCGGGGTTAGACACCGGTTTCGGGCTCTCATCGGTTGGCCTTGGTTCAGTCTTGCTTTCGAGTTCTGAGTTTTTCAGCGATGTGCCGCGCGCTCTCATGCGTCGTGTACCGTACGCGACACAAGACACCACACCCACTAGACAAATGCTCAAAGCTCGATTACTCGTAACAAACGATGAGTCGTCGGAAAGCTCTCGACAAGACGGCTCCAGCGCCGCCGTTTTCGGCACCGCAACTCTTTCTGCTGTGGAGAAATCGAGCTTTCAATATATCCGTCCAGGGTGTGTGATATCTGTTGCCACCTATATGGCAAACGAACGCGGGCTGGTCGTGGCTGATGACGTCACGTCAGCCTGGTAGAGCGGCGGCACTTCAAAAGAGTATGGAAAATTAAAGCAACGACCTCGTCAAAGCGGTCGTCCACGTAAAGAAGTACGGTCCGCGTAAGAAAGCGGTAAGGAACTTGGCTAGACGTTACGTCACTATGTACACGCCACACCCACGGCCTCGTACTACGTATTATGCCCAAGTGTCTAGAACTTGGCACAGCGCTAACGTCAAGCCAGACCTCACTCCAAGTTGACGAGGTGGACATATTCTGATCTTGTATTTTGATTCAATCAGGAGAAAAAAAGAAAAAAAATGGGATATTCGTTTGAGAAAAGGTGGCAACATGTTTGCCTGCAGGCATCGGGTTTGTTCCTCTCTAACACTTATCACTCTGCCCTACCTGGGTGTCTCGCTGGCTCTCGAGGTAGCTGCTGCCGCCGTTGGCGAAGTAGATCACAGGCACATCCGGGTGTCGCTGCTTAAGAATAGACATGGCCAGGTCGGCGTACGGCTTGGCGAAAGTCTCGAACTGTGACGGGATCATCTGGTGCGCCCAGGACTCAAAGACCTGGATCACCTGCGCTCCGTTCTCCACCTGCCAGACGAATAGAAAAAAAAAACAAGAGAGTTGTACTCATCTACTGGGAGTAAAATCTAAATTGTCTTGTCCAGGCCTAAAAAACAAAACGAAATGCATAAAACAGGTGGCAAGAGAAGGCAGGATTTCAGACAGTTTCAGCTATTTCGGCACCATCGATCGTAGCCGCATACACTGCTCTGTGGTACTATACCAAACAGAACTTGTCGGCGGAAAGCCCCATCTCGCTCGCACGATGACGATAACGATGACGACAACAACGCTTTATCGGGCAGCACTATCCCCCGGTGAAACTGCTGCTGTGATGCACTCCTCGTCATCTCGCCACATCCAACACGCGACCGCTCTCACGGCAACTCCTTCGTCTCAAGTCATGCAGCAAAAGCCTAACCAATTTTGCAAACCTCATGCATACGCACCTGGTAACAGGCGTAGTCGCCGATGCTGTTCGCGAGCTTAGTCATGAGCGAGTGGAACAAAGTCGGGTCCTCCATCATCATCTTCTTGGTGTGGAGTGCGTGCTTGCTGCTGCCCCCCTCGATGGAGTAGGCCGCCAGGGTCCACGGAGCCCCCACGAATCCGATGAGGGTCGACTTGCCCTCTGTCTCCGATCGAAGCGCCTGCCCGTTGGACACCAGCAGTGAGGAGTGTACCATTAAGTTGTGGTGGTTGGGTAACGAATGAGTGCACCATTTAGTCATGGGGTTTGGACAACGACTGAGTGCACCATTAAAACTACGATATTTGTATGTTGACTGAGTGCACCACTAAAACTAAAACTACAACATTTTGAGAACGGCCGAGTGCGCCACTAAGTCACGGTATGTGGACAACAACGGAGGCTGGACAAAAGATCCAAAGCTGCGAACAATCGATCGTCCTCGACAGGCAGACAGTGGGCAGACTGCTGTACCCTGCCTGCATGAAAGGGGATCTCTAGCGGCGGGGATCCACGTACCCTCTCCCTCAAAAGATCCATCCAAACACATACAAGTACACACACCTTGAGCGTCTCCCCCACGAACGGCAGCTTCCCGTCGATGTCCTCCATCACCCTCACCGCCTCCACGTCGGCCTTGGTCCTGATGGGGTTCGAGATCACCGGCCCGGTGCCCTTGGACGACATCGAAGTCCACCCCCATGGAAGGGAGGGGGGTGAGGATGTCCGAGAACATGATCACCCCGTCCACCCCAAAGGTTTCTCCACGGCTGCAGGGACAGCTCGATCGCGATCTCCGGGGTTCTCCGAGCGGTGCCGGAAGGGGTACTTGTCGGAGTACTTGCGGAACGCGCTCATGTATCGGCCGGCCTGCGACAATGAGGACAGGGGGGGGGGTGTACTCATAGTCGTGCATGCCGTAGTCGTTTGACCATTGACCTCGCATCCCTACAAAGCCGGGACGGAGCACGCCGGGTTCTCACCGGACCAGGCTCTCACATCACCAAGCGCGAAGCGCCGTGAGGTATTTGGCGAGTCGCATGAAGGGTGAGCTGCATCCTGGGGGGGGGGGGGCACAGCAAAACAAAAATGAAATTTGCTTCTGTGTTGGGAAAAATTTCTCGTGTAGCCTGGCGTGCCTGGGTCATCACCACGGGCACAGTATGCCCTAACAAGTTGTGTGTGTGGAGGTTAGTGGCCTCCTTGTTGAAAATTCCAGGGCAGGCATCCGTTTCGCCTCCCACGAGCGAACGCATGACTTGGAGGAAGCCGGTCGTTGAGGGAAGCGTACCCTGCCGTGATTGAACCCGTCACGTTACACCGCGCTATGTCTTCTGTCAACTCCTCTCGGTTTTCTTCGTACGTGCGGCTTTGTGCATGCTCTCACCGACTGCTGTCCTCAAACAAACCACCAACCCTCAACACCATGATCAGCGGCAAGCAAGCACGCCAGCCCAACATTATGGGCCAAGTCTACGATAAAATGGCAGCACGATTTGCTTCACGTAAAGGCGTTTCTCCAGACAATAAACAAACTTGGAGCTAGAGTAGCTTTTCGTCTACGGTGCAGAAAACACTTCACGGCAACAAGCAGGAACACCAAACGATTGTTGTCGTTGGTGGTGCTTCCACGAAATGGTGACAAGCTGTTCGCGGAAGCCGTTTCAAATCCGCAAGCTTGGTGAGGCTCCGAAAGGCCCACAGGAATCCAGCTAGGTTCCCATCAAAGCATAAAGCCATTAGGTTATTGGGACTACCCACGAAGGTTACACCGCAGCATCGTGTAAACCGAACCACACATGTCTCTAGTTGCTCCTCCTTTTCGGGACTGCTTTATCAGAGCTGCCGATTCTAACGTACTGTTGGAGCCGTGCTGGCTGCACTTGGTTGCTTTCGGGTGCATTCGACCTCCTCACTGAAAACAAAAAGTAGTGTGTGACTCGATTTCGTGGCCTGCGGCGGCTTGAAAGGAGCTCCGCCGAATCGCCAACTCTTGAGCGGGGGCGTTCTTTGGTGCCAAACTACAGTCAGTCATCAGCAACTTGCATCCAATCTCGAGCTCGTCAAGACCTCCAGTGATAAACTGCTGCCAGTTATCCATAGGAGTGATGAAGCTGCAGCAACGTAAATTTTCTTCAGGCTGTGCTTTCGCTCTCTCCTTAGGCTTTAAGCGGTACTGCTGTAGACGGTGCAACTGAGGACAAAGCAAAATGTAGGATACACAGCTCACACCTACTGTTGCATGGCGTAGGTCTGGAACGATGTGACGATCAGAAAAAGTTGCGGATACATACCTCTGCAGCCGAACACATGATATCACGGATCCCCCGGTAACTCTTGCTCGGGAAGGACCTAAGTCCACACAGCCTTACCCAAACCCCGTTACCTTGAGGTATCCACCTACTCGGGTCCTCGCGTACTGGAGACTCAAATCGCCGAGGTCCATGTTCAGTGTTCAGACTCCCCGTGAGTGTGCGGCTCTGCGAGATACGAACCGCTCTCTACTCGAACTTGTTGCACGAGCGCCGACTACATATAATAACATAACAATCACCAGTGCCGTGGCTCGTTTTTCGTTTGTTGGGGAGGGTTACTACAGTAGTGGGCCCTGTTTAGTGCCGATGTGTGTCCAGAGGTTTTACCGGCACTATACCGGGCCACCGGGACTGTAAGAGAACAGGGCTCCTAGGTTTTTGTATTAGGAGTGGACACTCGTGTCCTCAGATTTGACCCGCACTATACCGGACTGTGGCACTATCAACCGGCACTATACAAGGGTCCACTACTGCTGTACTATATTGTCCCAGTTGTTTTCCCTACAACCGCCGCTGATGTGCAAACTTTTGTTTTCATCACTGCTGCCGGTACCCGCGCTGCTGGACGGGTTTGCCTATGTTGTGCTTCGAAGTATCGACCGGCAACTACATTTATTCGGCGGAGGCACGTTTCCTTCAGGCTGAAGCACACAACCCCAATTGCTGTGCTATGCTATGGTGATGACTGCCGGTGAACTCATCCAGACCAGCAGCAGTGATGCTTTACTACACTAGAAGTATTAGGATCGGCGGGGGGTGTTTGGATAACACGTGTAGGCATGACATGATATGTTGTGCAACACATGATATTTGTAGTAAACGGGAAAACTGTGCGGGGTTTCCAACAAGCAAACGCTTAAAAAAAAGGTTGTACACCGTACACGCAGATTGCACTGGAGTTCATGCGTTACTACTGCTTTGGACATACATGCGGCGGTCGTCGTGTCCTCAACCAAGGTGTATGCGTACAGCAGTAGACTCGACGCCGCTCTTGCGTTAGATCAGACCTGCATACAAAAAGCGCACAGCACGCACACACCTGCCGCATGAGCCAAACGGGAGCACGTTCCGCCTTCTCGCCCTTCGCCACCCGCAGAAGAATGTCGTGCTCATCGCTCGACGACATGCAAGGTCGAGACCTTCCGCAGCCAGCCCCCCTCCTGCGCCTACAATGCTGCTCTAGGCCTACCGCTGCTGCTCCTGCTCGAGCGCTGCTCCATGCTGTCGCACGCCTGCTGTCCTTGGCCAAGCTTGCCGCACCAGCCGTCGACGGGACGAAAGCCTCTGATCGAGACACGCCCAGAGCCAGCAGAATGGCCACGTAAGCTATCGATGCCTTTGCGTACACCATGGTGATGGCGAGGTGTCAAGTGTCGTGTGCCAAGCCTGCGGCGAGCAGAGCATGCATACAAGCACAAACAGCCGCAGGGGGCGCTCCGTGGATGTATGCATGGGGTGTGGCCGGTGGCAATCAGCACGAAAGAGAGTTCCGGAGGCGTTATGGAAAACGGTTTCGTTTTCCGAGGTGAAGTGTGGTCGAGGCGCGGGTCCTAGGGATCACTCCGCGATTCATGTGTGCGTGTGTGCCTTCATGTTGCAACTGCTGTGCCCCCACCGCCCGGAGAGATACAAGTCAACGCTTTAGCAGGCCTACTGCTGTACAGCAGTAGTACTACAGCAGTATGCTGATACAGTAGTGCGATGGTTGAAGCTACCAATATCCACAACTTCCTCCTCCTACAATTGAGGCATGCTCCCCGACGATCTCGTCGGGCCGGATCATGGCTGTACTGATCGATGCCGTCGTCAAAAATGGGCGGGGATGCGATTCCTGCACAACCTTGTGCACCAACCGCCATACCGATATCACAGTCTCGCGTGTGCGTTGGAAGCTACGCCGGGGCAGGGATGCACGGTCAGCAAAGCCGCGTTCGTGGCAAGGATGATGTCAGCATATCGGTTTGATCGCAAGTTGAGGATGGACACGCGGCTTCGATCGCTCTATGAGTGCTATGAAGGGGCCCGTGCTGGTGCGGTGGACTATCGCGACATCTTGTGTTGCACGATTGTGCTTCGGAGATTCAAAGACATCCGTGACAACCCACGCAAGTTGTTTCGAGACCTGATCCTCTTGTACTCGGATGACGAGGGGGAGGTCGTCCGAAGGCAGGACGCTCTTAGAGTGATGAGGATAGGTGCACTACACGGAGGCCACATCCTGCAGACAAGCACCCGCCTGGACAAGTACCTCGCCGAGGAGGCACGCCCACGAGGCCTCAAACCCACTTTCCGCGACTTAGACATCACCTTCTTGATGGACACAATCGAGGCGAACCCCTCAATTCTGGTCGCGTTTCGAACTCAGCTTTGGCAGCGTATTCCCGAAGCTTGGCGATTGGGCGTGCTACAAGCGGTGGAAGCAATGGGTTTCGAAAAAGCGAGCTCCGGCGCGATGGCGATGAAAGAGCGCCGCGCGGTCCGGTGGTACACCAAGACCCTGTCGCGTCGAATCATCGTCGGCTGGAAAGTCTTCAGGAACCGAGCGAAGCAGATCAGAGCCCAGCGAGAACGCATACAGAACGTTCGACGCCGCCAGACCCTTCGCGCTTGGCACGCTTCGGCGGCCATCCACGTCCTTCGCCGCAAGCGCCGCGGGGTCGCCGACCAGTATGGGCGAATCTGCACGCTCCGGCGCTACTTCTATAGCATCGTCAAGTACGTGGAGGTGAACAAGAGGCTCGCAGCCGTGGCCTGGAAGTTTAGCAAGCAGGGCAAGCTGGTAATGGCCGGGGTGGGCTTGCTGCGCGGGGTACTACGGAAACGGTCCATGCGGCTGGCCCTGCAGGCGTGGTGCGAGACGGCTTCTCTCATGAACGCATGGGGGTTTGCGGTGGACCTCGCCGGGGAACGGCTCTGTCGTCGGGTGTTCGCGGCGCTGAGGGACACCGTGAGGGCTGCGGTGGTGGCGAGGCGTGCCGAGGATGAAGCCGAGATGCGGGCGGCGGCTTTAGCCGAGAGTATTGAGGTGGGTGGTGTGCTATGTTCCGGCAAGAAGTGTAGTCTGTTCATGGGTCGAGTACTTCAAAGTATTGCGAAAAATCTGGTTGAATTCTCGCGAACCTACTACCGTGATTCGCAGAGAGCGGTGAATAATGTCTTCGTCTCAGCAATGCCGCACACCTTGGAATACACCTACACTACGTACGGCGTTGCTGTACAGAGGGCATGAAAAAGGGGAATTCAGACAAGGTGCTTTATCATTTCGCAACAGCGGAGACGTCCTGGCCCCTAAAAAGCTCCTTGTATGCGCCGAACTGACAACTGCTTCGTGAGTTTCCAACGAACCCGCCTTACGCATACAACAGCATACATACGAGGGAGGTACACACGTTGTACTGGCCGCTGGTCTCTTTAGACGTGTGTCCATCGTTTGAAAGGCATGCTCGGCGTGCGTACATTCCCCCGCCGCCTTTCTATTGCTTCCCATCCGGGCAGGAAGCGGAGAGAGAAAGAGTGCTTCTGGCTGAGCTCGCGGAAGAGAGGAAGAAGCGCCAAAAGGCAGAGGAGAAAGCGGCGCTTATGGCCAGACGTGCCGCCGAACACGTCGAGAAGATCGAGGCGGCGCGGGCCGGATCCGTGGCCAGAGACGCCGAGGTGCTGCAGCGGCAGAGAGAAGCCAGAAGGCGAAGGGTTTACGAGAACAGGGTCAAGGTCAAGAATGACTTTGACGCGGCGTGGGAGGTAAAGCTGAGGGAGACCGTCGAGAGAGAGATGGAGTTGGCCAAGGAGTGGCTCGCGACGGACCCCGAGGCACCGTTCAAGGTCCAGAAGGAGATGAAGATCCTCAAGAGGAAGTTCTACGCGGCGCCACTGCCGGAGACGGCGGAACTGGAGAGGGCGCTGAGGGACCCGGCCAACTACATCTTCGCGCACATGGCCAACCTGATCTACAAGGAGAATAAGACGCTTCAGATGTTCTTCAACCAGTTCGACAAGGAGGTTGGTTCGCGGTGTAACCGACACGGGATGGGGGGGTGTCAACCCCGAGGTCTTTGTCGTTGTTGCGTTGGGTATGATACCAACTGCCTGATGGCTAAACGACGTCAGGGTGAAAAACTGAGCCGCGTGTTTTCCATGTGATGTTTACGGGGAACTAACTGGCAGCAGAGGATTCTGAGAGCCATCGCCGACGGTAACCAAGGGCAAGGGGCGTCTTGTGGGATCCACCGCTATGCGGAGATCGATCCCTCCATTCATATGCGCGTCAGCTCTGGCGTGTGTTCTTCGCGATGCTGTGTTCATTGAAACTAGTGCAGCTGCCCGGTTTGTTGTTGCCATGGATTGTTGTTGCACGTGAGAAGGAGCCTGCAGGACATACTCACTCCAAAAACGCACAGCGAGGCATAGAGTCACAACAAATATGGCTCGAATGAAAAACGTCTCAAGCCCACACAATGAAGCACAGCCGCGGCCACCATACTGTTGATTTTCTCCTAGCCAACCCGTTCGCTACCTCCCTCCATCCCTGTCACAATCCGCCCTCCCTCCCTCGGCACCCACGCTGTACCTCAAGGGGGACGGCTACCTCACGCACGAGGAGTTCAAGGGCATGGTGTCCAGCCTCAACGTCAAGCTGTCGAGGGAGCAGATCCGGTCCGTGATCCGAACGATCGACCTGGACGGCGGCGGTTTCATCGACTTTCCGGAGTTCGAGGCTGCGGTGAAGAGACACGAAGACGTGAGTAGAGCCGTCCAAACAAGTCGGAAGTGCACCTTGCCGCTGGCGGCTGCTGTTTTAGGACATCCTGAGACACGTGAAGATGCGCAGCAGTAAGCAGCCCGGTGTAGTGGCACGTAGGAGCAAGAGGAGAACATGGCACTATTCAGGCAGTGCCACTATTCGATATATCGGGTTCATGTACATGATGAGGTTGTGACATTGTGACGTCGCTAAGAGTATCGGCAGTTAGTTCCACTATTCAAGTTGCCACTATTTCGGGCTGCTTACGGTAGGCTCTACTCCAGAAACGAAGAAATAGTGTATCGCATCGCCGACAAGCAAAGGACGCCGCCCAGTCAAGAAGACGAGGCTGACGGTGTCCATATCAAACGCCCGCCAAAGGCTGTTCTTTCAGTTCAAAGACGAGTACGGAGTCAAGCAGGCTCAAGCAAAACATACGCCACAGACACGCCAACGCGCCGTATGGCCATGAAAGGGCTGGGGTAGGGGAAGGCTTACCACAACGACCAGGATGGAAAAACAAGAACAATGTCGTACGGTACTACCCTTCGATATGACTGCGTCGCCAACGGTCTCAAGACAAAGGCAGTCGACAACGGCCAAGCATACTCGGAAAAGACCAGCACACACGCACCACAGGCGGACACGAAAGGCACACTACCCCCCCAATTCCACGCTGAACATCTCGTGAATGACCGGTGGCACCGCAGGTATGCGGGCAGGCCGGGTCGGTCTGGAAGATGTACGTGTCGCCGGTACACGCCATCATGACTTTCCACAACGTAGAGACGAACGAGATACTCTGGGACTACAAGGCCACCGACAAGGACCTGTTGAGAGTGGTGAAGGACAATATCGTCGGCCTGGAGGGGATCGAGGCCAAGAAGAGGGCTGTTGAGGACCGGGAAAAGGAGTGGGAAGAGCTCCTTAGGAACAGGTGCGTTCCAAAGGAACGAAGATGAAGGGTGTCGGGTTCAATCCGGTTGGCAGACTGCTTGCGTTCTTCTTATTTTGATGGCTTGTGTCGTTGTCGCCGTCTCCATCATCGCTATCGTTCCAGTATTTGTTGTGGTTGTTGTTGTTGTTGCGAGTAGTGGTGGCAATGGCATCGTTGTTGCATACTTCTACAACAGTCAAACCCTCAGCCGCCTCCGTATCATGTTGTATGTCCTCGTCGTGAGCAACGAGGCGGATCTTTCTGAAAGCCCTTGCGGATGGCTGCTCGAAAGGAGCCTCACCTTCATGTGGTTGCATCTTCATCTCCAGGGGAACACAAACAAAATGTTCGATTCTGAGTAAACTCTTGCCGAGGTGATGGGGAGCGCTTATTTCTGCTGTCCAACACTAGAACATGATTGGCTCAAGAGATGAGCCGGGCACCTCTCAGATACAGACACGGTACACAATCAACGATGTGCGCCACGGTGTACATCGACTCCTTGCCAACCCCGTCCGGCCCGTCCACCTCTGTGTCGATTTCCAGCCTGCCGAGGATTACATCTATATGAAGAGAGCAAGAATACACGGCCCTCGGTGTCTCTAAAGACTGATTGACTACCTCCAAGGAATGCAACAAACATGTCGCCCCCGTCCTTAACGTCAGAATTCCTAGGCACAAATACCCCCACACACACACACACACCGCCGCCGCCGCCGCCACCGCCGCCAAACCGGTACTACTCATCACCTCAGGGCCGCAACAACGATGCAGCGGCAGTACCACGCTTGGGCCGCTCGCAAGAGGCGGGCCTTGCTGCGGTGGAAGTGGGACGTTGAAAAGGCCCGGGCGAAAAACAGGGAGACCACCCTCATGGCCACGAGGATACAGTGCTGGTGGAGGATCCTGCGGGCGAAATGGCTCGCCCTGCAGCTGCTGCAGATCACGATAGAGGTGCTCTGGGACCCGGGCTTGAACCAGCAGTACTACTTCAACCACGGGCTGGAGCAGGCGGCGTGGGAAGTCCCGAGCATGCTACGGCGGTGGCGCGGGCGGGGTGCGAAGATGCCGAGCGTTCCGGAATGGGTTCTTATCTCGAGGCTCTTCGGCCAGGTGCGAGTGTTCTTGAAAAATCTGGCCGCCTAATTCCGACGCCCGTTGGACGACAACCTGGATAACCCTAGAGTGTGGTTCCTATTTAGGGGGGGCGTCGAAACCGATCGGAGTAGTAGAACCGACTCTCGGATATAGAATTAGTTCGGCGGCTTGCAAGAGAATACACACATGGGGCACTTGTTTGTACATGCACGTGCGGCTTGCGCTGCGAGAGAACGATGCACCAGTACACTGTACGGAATACTCGGCGGGGGGAGACTATCCTGTCTTCAACTTTCTGCGTGTTCGTACCAAGAACTGCATGCAGTGCAAGGGGTCTATTTGGGAGGGGCTGTACTATAAGATACCAAATTGCGGGGACGTCGTGATCACGCAATCGGCAAAGCAATATTCATTGACTACACCCGCACGAAAAATCACGTCCGGCACTGAGTGTGGGAGGTTGAGACCAACGTATCAGAAGTACAGGGTCTGCGTTTTCGACGGAGCCAAACTAAGCCCCGCGAGCGGGCAAGTTATGACTGTATACTTCCCACGCCCTCCCACCAAGTCAACCCACTCTGAATGGGCCATCGTCTCTCTACCCACCTTTCTGTCTCTCTGTCTGGTTCTTTCCCTCTCCCTCTCCCTCTCCCTCTCCCTCTCTTCGTTTCTCTGCCTGAACGAAGTCGTACTTTTACAACACCCGGAGCAGGCTACGGCAGGACGAAAAGCCGGCCGGCTACCTTCGCTGCTCCTCGTGCCAAACGCAGCTCGCCAGCCGCAGGTATCCACTTCTACAAAATACGTTATCAGTGGAATAGGATGTGTGGTGTGTTCTATGCATCCAGTCCTGTGCTATCTAAATATTCCCGAATCGAGCTGTAGGTTGATGCGAGGCCGGCCGACCATGAAGGACGTGTCCCATGAGATCTCCGCACCCAAACGACGACCTGATCCCATAACCTCGCTGATAAGCCGAAGCCGGTGAAAAATCAATCAATCGCGATAATACTTTTGATGAGTTCTCGTCGTATGTGTTTGTAGCGTCTCTGTCGTGTACAGAGAAGCCGTAGGAAAGGTCGAACTGGCCGCTAGATCTACGTAGATGCTACAGATGTTGCTCTTGAAACCGCTCCTCGAAGTAATCGGCCTAGCAGAAGGTCGCCTGACCTCCACCCGCCGTGTGTGTGTGTGTTCGATATCGCACCACCAGTGTTGGCGACCTTGTTCGCGAGCAGCAAACACCCTCCACTCGCAAATTCTTTGGTACAGGTGTTGAAAGGGCTAGACCCTCTTTGTGATACATTGATACACGCGAGATGACATCGCCGATGAGCGATGATGCGCGTTCAACACCGTCGAGAATCAGCAAGTGATACTTGTATGCAACACGTTTTCGCCATGCAGCATGCGCTAATTCGTAGCTTACATACGTAATATTTTTTGGCCTTAACGGGGCTTTTGTTTTCGAAAAGCATGCAAAATGTTTGGTTTCTTCAAATGGCGTGGTCATATCTTTTTCGTTACTATCATGCGCCATATACGAGGAACGAAACACGAAAAATGTATAGAGGACGGCGGTAGGGTTAACATCACCCCAACCACCAGGTGCACGGTCGAGGAGCGAGACCTGTGCTTCGTCTGCTTCCGGGGAGAGCACCTCGAGGGAGAAGAACGCCTCTGGCACAACTGGGAAACCTCCAAGGCTTTCACGTGCCAGGTCTGCGCCCAGCGCGACGCGACCCTCGTGTGCGCCGAGTGCCCCGACAAGGGCCCGGAGAGCAGAGGCGGCAAGAGGGGGAAAC